ACCATGGCTATCACGTCAAGTAGCTCGGGCAGGGTGCAGGATATATGTGAAAGAGGAGGTCTCAAAATGCCCAATTTAAGTTTATATTATGAGGCAGCTGCCCTATCAGCAATTAGTGACTGGATGAATTCAACAGAAGAAAGAATATTGAATATTGAGGGATATCCTGATAGGTTCCAGAGGGAGCTTGGGCCATTTCCTGAGATCCTGGCTCACGACTCGGCTGAAGACCTGGTGGCTGCCTGGGATAGTGCGGCCGCCGGGGCTTTGGACCGTGTCGTGCCTTTGCGGCCTCTGACCCGGCACCGAACTCACTTAGCTCCTTGGTTCTCCGAGGAGCTGAGGGAGATGAAGCGCTGGAAGACGTCTAGAGAGCGGTTGGAGGGCCAGCCGATCTGAATCCAACTTGATACTGGTAAGGTCTCATATTAAGATCTACCTAGTGGCGATAAAAGCGGCGAAATCTAGCTATTTTGCCGCTCTTATTGCGTCATCAGATAATAGCTCAGCCGCCCTGTTTAGGGTGACCCGCTCCCTCCTCCATCTGGTAGTGCGGGATGACCTCTTGCAGGGCCGAGCTGAGGACTTTGTACAGTATCTGCATGATAAAATAACTCGGATTCGGGAAGACTTGGCCGCTGACTGGGTTAGTTCAGACGAGATGACTGAGGCAGGCCTTGAGAATGTTATCTGGGAGAAGTTTGATCCTGTGGCTCCCAAGGATGTGGACAGGATCTTGGGACAGCTGAATGCAACCACATGTTTATTGGACCCGTGTCTCTCCTGGTTGGTGCTGGCTTCCCAGGAGGTTACACGAGGCTGGCTCCAGGGGATTATTAATGCTTCTTTGAGCGAGGGTGTCCTGCCAGCCGCCTTGAAAGAGGCGGTTTTGAGGCCCCTCCTCAAGAAGCCCTCCCTGGATCCGGCTGTTTTGGCTAACTATCGTCCAGTCTCCAACCTTCGTATTACTGCGAAGGTGGTTGAGAGTGTGGTGGCACGACAGCTTCCCCAGTACCTGGATAAAGCTGTCTATTTAGATCCGCTCCAGTCCGGTTTCAGGCCTGGGTACAGCACGGAAACGGCATTGGTCGTGTTGGTGGATGATCTCTGGAGGGCCCGGGGTAGGGGTTATTCCTCTATCCTGGTCCTGTTAGATCTCTCAGCGGCTTTTGATACCATCGACCATGGTATCATGTTGCGCCAGCTGGAGGGACTGGGAGTGGGGGGCACCATTTTGCGATGGTTCTCCTCCTACCACTCCGACCGGTCGCAATCTGTGTTGACAGGGGGGCAGCGATCGACTCCGAGGCGCCTTATTTTTGGGGTGTCGCAACGGTCGGTCGCCGCTGGGTGAGATCATCCGTGGTTTTGGGGTGAAGTTCCATCAGTACGCTGATGATACTCATCTGTACATCTCCACCCCGGACCACCCCAACGATGCCTTGGAAGTGATGTCCCTGGAGGTGCCTAGAGGCCGTGCGGGTCTGGATGGGGAGAAACAGGCTTCGACTCAACCCTTCCAAGACTGAGTGGCTGTGGCTGCCGGCGTCCCGGTATAGCCAGCTGGTGCCATCGCTGGTTATTGGGGGCGAATCATTGGCCCCCACGGAAAGGGCCCGCAACTTGGGCGTCCTCCTGGACGCACGGCTGTCTTTAGAAGAGCATATGACGGCCGTGGCCAGGGGGGGGCTTTCTATCAGGTTCGCCTGATACGCCAGTTGCGCCCCTTTCTGGATCAGGACTCCCTACACACAGTCACTCAAGCACTCGTCACTTCTCATCTGGACTATTGTAACGCTATAGACGTTACACTCGGAGGCTCCAACTGGTGCAGAATGCGGCCGCGCGGGGGATTATGGGAGCGACGGGGCGCTCCCATGTGACTCCTCTCCTGCGCGAGCTGCATTGGCTTCCGGTGGACTTCTGGGTGCGCTTCAAGGTGTTGGTGATCACCTTTAAAGCGCTCCATGGCTTAGGGCCGGGGTACTTACGGGACCGCCTTCTGCCACCAATTGCCTCCCATCGGCCAGTTTGCTCCCACAGAGAGGGCCTCCTCAGGGTGCCGTCGGCCAGACAATGTCGGCTGGCGACCCCCAGGGGGAGAGCCTTCTCTGTGGTGGCACCTACCCTCTGGAACAATCTACCCCCAGAGATACGAGTGATTCCAGACCTCCGGACTTTTCGTCGGGCCCTTAAAACCTACTTTTTTCAGTTAGCCAGGCTGTCCTGATTTTATGGTTGGTTTTAAAATTTGATATTGATTTTAATTGAAATGTTTTAAATTATGGGCCAAATTTTATTTAATTATTTTAAATCTATTTTAACTTTTGTGTATGAATGTTTTATATTTGGCTGTTCACCGCCCTGAGTCCGGAAGGAGAAGGGTGGTATAGAAATCTGAAGAATAAATAAATAAATGTGACGCCTGTGGCCAGGGGGGCTTTTTATCAGGTTCGCCTGATTCACCAGCTGTGTCCCTTTCTGGACTGGGACTCCTTGCGCATGGTCACTCATGCCCTCGTCACCTCCCGTCTGAACTACTGTAATGCTCTCTACATGGGGCTCCCCTTGAAGAGCACTCGGAGGCTCCAACTGGTCCAGAATGCAGCCACGCGGGTGATTATGGGAGCGACACGGCGCACCAATGTAACACCTCTCCTGCGCGAGCTGCACTGGCTCCCAGTGGTCTTCCGGTGCGATTAAAGGTGTTGGTTACCATCTTTAAAGCGCTCTGTGGCTTAGGACCTGGGTACTTACGAGATCACCTTCTGCTACCGATAGCATCCCACCGGCCAATACGCTCCCACAGAGAGGGACTCCTCAGGGTGCCATCGGTCAAACAATGTCGACTGGCGATCCCCAGGGGGACAGCCTTCTCTGTGGGGGTACCTGCCCTCTGGAATGAGTTGCCCCTGGAGATATGGATGATCCCTGACCTACACACCTTTTGCCGTGCCCTCAAGACGTTATTGTTCCAACAAGCTGGGCTGGCCTAAACATGAATTTTAATGGTTGTTTTAGTTTTTTAATAATACTGGGGCCAAATTATTTAATATATTTTTAAATTGCTTTTAAATTTTTTGTATATGTGTGTTTTAGTGTTGGCTGTACACCACCCTGAGTCCTTCGGGAGAAGGGCGGTATAAAAATTTAAATAATAAATAAATAAATAAGTAAGTACCATCACCACTGATTTTTATAGCAAAAAGTACTGAACAGGGCAGAGTTACACTTAGAGGCATCCTAAATATTTTTAAGTATTCACTTTTGTAGAAGTACACTAAAAAGGATCTGCTCATTTAAAAAAGTAATTCATCTCGTTTAACTACTGCTGATAAATGTCCTTTTGCATTAGTGTTCTACAATCTCTCCCAAAATTCATTCTTACAAGTCTTGCAGGTAGTCCTCGGGTTACGACAACGATTGGGGCTGGAATTTTCATCACTAAGAAAGGTAGTCGTAAAGTGTGACATCATGTGATCGCATCGCTTAGCGACAACAATCCCTGCAATCGCCCTTACCATCTTTCAGTGAGGAACATGAAGGTTATTAATAGGGGACCTCACATGACCCCAATGTGGGAAGAAGTGTTGAAACCGTGGCCCAGGCACACAGGCGCTATGGAGGACCAGTGCCACAAAAGGGGGCTACAGAGCAGGCATTACAAAGCACAGGAGGGCGCTGTGGGCAGGCAGGCGCTACAGGACACCAACAGCCACACTGCTGGGGTCTCTCAGGAGAAAACCCGGCAGGGCTGTAGGAGCAACCCAAGATCTCCTTCCAGCTTCCCCACTGACTTTGCTTGTGGAAACAGGCAGGGCAGGGGAGAAATGGTGATGGTGCAATTGCCGCAACTCCTGATGATCAGTCATAGGTTCTTCCTCTCCCCCCCTCCACTTTCTACACTGTTGTAATTTGGAACTGTCCCTGAATGAGAAGTCCTCACTTTAGGACCACACACACACACAGACATACACAGACACACTCCCCTCTTAAAGTTACAGTTTAAGGCCTTTGATGATGTTCTGCCCCAGCTCCGGATTTCCGAGATTGACACACACCAACGGTCCTTATCAAATTTATTAAGTAGCAAGAATAAACAAGACCGGCACAGGTTGGCAACCAGCCCAAAAAGCAAGATATGATAAACCAAAATACTCTGATTATAAATACGAGTTGTTTCCAGCAAAAAAGCATGAGCTGCGTGCGACTTAAATAGGCTAAGTGGCCTATTGGTGGCCAATTATCCTCAAGCCCTACTCTTGAGTAGACCTTCTCCTCCTGAGTAGCCACTCCTGCCTTTTGGCAGCCCTGCGTGCTCAAGCATTGAGGAGAGGCTCCTCCACTTCGCTCTATCCACTTGAAGGAACCTCTGGAGGTTCTGAAGGCCCTGGCTGAGTCTCTGCCTCTGGCACCACATTCTCTTCAGCCTCCTCACTGTCCAATGCGAGCGCTGGCTGTGCAGGCTGCTGGCGCGACACCACACCAGCCTCCTCTTCATCAGGATCAGCCACGATCCACGCAGGCCGCTGGCGGGCCACAACAGATGAGGTACACTCAGGGGTGAAATTCAGCAGGTTCTGAGAGGTTCTGGGGAACCAGTAGCTGAAATTTTGAGTCATTTGGAGAACCGGCAAATACCACCTTTGCCTAGCCCCAGAATGGGGTGGGAATGGAGATTTTACAATATCCTTCCCCCTGGAGTGGGGTTGGAATGGAGTTTTTGCAGTATCATTCCCCTGCCACGCCCACCAAGCCACATCCACCAAGCCCACCAAGCCATGCCCATAGAACCAGTAGTAAAAAAAATTGAATTCCACCACTGGGAACGCTGCAGCTCACAAGCCCCTTTCTCCCACCTGGTATTCACTTGACCCGTTGCACTGTAGAGACAGATAGGAAATGTCAAAGACTGGCCCAGCAAGCCCCTGCTCCTGCTCAAGTGGGCGGCCCTTCTCATCCCACCCCACCACACCCCCCACGGCTCAGACGTCCCTCACCTGCTTCTGGATACAGGGCTCCATGTCCATGAGGCAGCTCTGGCAGAGGGAGCAAAAGGCAGCCACTTTGTCCTTGAGGCTGAGCAGATGCTGCTGGGGATGAAAAGGCAATCATGAAAGCCTGGCAGTAAGGGCCATGGCAAAAGATCCCCAAAACCCGCTCACCTGATCAGGGAGGGCCCCGGCTGAGCAGTGGGACAGTTCCCAGAGCAGCGAGAAGTGGGCGCAAGTCATGGCAGGAATCACCACCTGCAAGGAGAAACGGGAGGCAGCAGGCAGGCATCGGATCCCCATGGGCGCAAGAAAAACACGGAAGCGCAGCTGAGGAAGAATGTGGCCCAAGAAGAGAGGTCCCCAACTGTTTCTGGCTCAGGTCAGTTGGCCCAGTACCTGCTCGCAGGCCTCGCCTGTGTTCAGCAGGTGGCGCAGGAGACGGACGCAGGGCTCAAAGAACCTCCACGGAGTCAGGTCGTGGGCACTGCGGATGAAAAGGGCACAAGGGCCAGTTCCTGGACATTCCCCAGGGATGCCATGCCTCTATTTAGGACAGGTGCAGAGGAGGAAGGTGTCTAAAACCAGAGACCTCCTTCAAGAGCAGGAATCTTGGACAAAATGGCCAGATTGAATAATTTCCACTCACCTGTGGAAGAAGGCAATGCGTCTCAAAGTGGTAGCCATGCTGTACACCTCCTCCTCCTCCTCAGAAAATGAGGACTACAAAGAAACAGAGATACGATGCAAGGCGCTTCTCCTCCACCCGAGAGGAATATCCAGAGACAAAGAATCATAGATGTGGAAGGTACACAGAGACCCAACCCCATGCTTACAGTAGGAACCCTCACACTATTCCTGACAAAAATATGGCTCAATCGTTTCTTGAAAACCTCTAGTGACTGAGCACCCATCACTTCAGAAGGCAGCCTGTCCTACTCCTTAATAGTCTCCCACGCAAGTAAATCCTCCTTATTTCAAGTCTGGATCTCCCATTGGAGGCTGCTGGTTCATCTTGCCCTCAAAGGACATTACAAGGAATAAATCCACACTGTCCGGCCTGTGACTTCCCTTCATGGATTGGAAGACTTCTGTTCTATCTCTGCTCAGCTTTCCCTTCTTTAGGCTAAACGTACTGAGTTCAATTGCTCTTGGTAGGATTTAGACGCCAAGCCTTTTACTATCCTTGTCACTCTTTGTACTCTTTTCAGTTACACAGCCCAAAATTGCATTGGCTCTTTTGGCAGCTGTGGCACCTTGCTGGCTCAAGCTTAGTCTGAGATCTACCGCGACACCCAGATTCTTCTCACAAATACTAAGAGCCAAGGATCCCTATCTTCTATCTGTGCATCTAATTTTTGCATTTCTCACCAATGAACATGTTGCTGCCTAAGGACCAAAGTTAAAAGCCCCTCAAGGTCTTTTTGAACTTCCAGCACGTCTTCTGGAATGCTAGCAAACACCCCCCGCCCCGGCTTTGTGTGGTCCACAACTTCTCGTCAGTTCCTTCATCTCAGTCTTTGATGAAGGCTACTGGGTCCAAGAAAGGAACCCTGAGGTGTCCTGCTACGTATCCCTCCTTCCATGTAGACCACTAAGGTCTGAATGTTGTCCCCCGTCATCCAGTCAACCGCAAATCCACCTAGAAACAAGGCTATCCATCTGTCACTGTCCCGGTTTATCAGGGAGACCCTAGTCTACTTTATCAAATGCCTCAATGAAGTATGGGGCTTCGTTCCCTTAGTCCACCAATCAAGTCACATTGTCAAACAAGTTAATTCCATTTAAATTAATTTAAAGAAAGCAGTAAGATTTTTAAAAATTTATTATTAATTTATTAATTCAATTTATATGCCGCCTTTCTCCGGAGACTCAGGGTGGCTGATTCGTCGGCATGACCCGTGCTGGCGGATCTGGAAATCACCTCGTCCCTTTCTAAATGCCTACAAACCAACTGCTTCATTATGTTTTCTAGGATTTTCCTGAATGTTGTCAAGCTGATTGGCCTTTTTTTTTTTAATTGATTTATATGCCGCCCTTCTCCATCCTCCTTTTCCTGTGTCTGCTTCCCCCTCCCCCCTTCTTGGAATATGGGAGCAAGACTGTCTCTTTCTTCTCCCATCTTCTTCTGAATTGGCTTAAAGCACATGCCTACAGCCACGTCATTATTGCTTCTTTTCCGGACTTCCGGTGGCACCGCAGGCGCCGAGGACGCTCTTTTCTTGAGCACCAGCCCCGCGATCTCGTAAAGCCGCTAGAACAGCGCAAATCAGCTGTCTAGCGGCTTCGAAACTTTCTCCCCGGGAAAAGGGGAGGAAGAGAGCAGACGGGCGTAGGTAGAGCTCCCCAAGGAGCCCCAGGAACAATTCTGGGGCTCGAAGGGTGAGAGCTCCCTGGAAGCCCGACAGAGCTCCGGATCCGGGACGTTTCTGCTTTAAGCAGAAGAAGACGCTGCGACCACCCCTGCAAACAATGCTTGAATAAACATCATTCAGAAGCAGGCTGAGCAAACTCAGGAGAGATTAGATCTGCAAGTACTGAACTTTAACTCCAAATGTGTATTACTTCCTTCTGACTTATTAAGGGAAGAAAGTGAAACCAAGATGGCGATTGAGCTCTAATGGGGCATGAAAGCGAAAGTTAAAAAGGAAAGTTTCTTTTAGTGTTGGCAGCCTCTGTTCAAAATTAGAGATTTGTGTTTTTTTTTAAAAAAAGGAGAAGATCAAAGATTACAGCAGTGATTTTTTTTTTAAAAAAGGATTGATATTATTTAAAGACTGATTTCTGGATTTGGTGGATCTATTGTTCTGGCAGCTGATTAAATTTAAATTGGAAACTAAAAATGGCTTCAAAACAAATTAAGGCTATTGTCCCCAAAAGTGCTGGGACTTCGCCAGCTCAAACGTCCAGATTGCAATCTCTCTCTGTTCCAATGGAACCAACAATATTAACATTTGAAATGTTGCAGGAAGCCCTCAAAACACAAGCCTCTGTTACAGAAAAAAAAATTGCTTCAATGTTTCAGGAGCAAACTCGAGAGGTAGGTGAAGAGATAGCCCAAGTCAAAGGACTATTCAAAAACGAAACCAAGAAATTAGAGAAGATATTATTATGGCAGTACAAGGATTGGCAGGACATATTGAAGCAGTAGATGAAAAAGTGGAAAAAATTAAGCAGACTAATGAGAACTTGGAAAATAAAATGGGGGAGGTCCAGGACAAGATGGAAAGAGCAGAGGCTGATGTGATAATGATACAATATAGAGAAATGGAATTTGCTCTGAGAATAAGAGGCCTCAAGGAAAATAAGCAAGAGAATTTGAGAGAGATCTTTTCAGAAGCATTTGCACAGATAATGGGAGATCAAAAAGCAAATTTTGAACGGCAAATTGACAAAATTTATCGTGTCAATTCATGGGTGGCCAGACAGAAACATCTACCAAGAAACATTATAGTTTATTTTACAACAAAGAGACTACGTAATGAAATCCTACAAGTCACTTTTAAAAATAAACTTCAAGTGCAGGGGCAGGAGCTTTTAACATTGAAAAAAATTCCCCCCCAAAATGTTGAGAGCCAGAAAGGATTATGCCTTTCTGGTAGAAGAACTGAGATACCATCAGATATAGTATAGATGGGAAGTTCCAGCTGGTCTAGTGGTGAATTATTCAGGAGAAAGATATCGTCTCAATTCAGTGTGGAAGGCAAGAGATTTCTATACCAATGTTTTAAAGGCTGGATGCCCACAGCCCCAGGAAGCTAGAAGGAAGACGGAAATAGAGGGAGAAAGAAAGGGGGAGAAAGAACTGTTGGCACAGGCCCAAAAGGGTGATTTGATTATTCAAGAAGAATTAATACAATTTTCGACTACTGTTCAAGCTTTGGAGATAGAAGAACCTAAGGATCAAAGACAGACTCGAGGAGCAGCCAAGCGTCAAGAAGAATTAAGAGTACAGCAACTTCAAATGATTCAAGATATTACAAAAACAGAAGCAGTGGGAGGAGCAAGGCCAAAAAGTAAAATGCATGGAGATTTCCAGCAGATGCTCCAAGTGCTTCAAGGGGCCAAGAATGGCAACTAGATTTTTGACCTGGAATGTTAATGGCCTAAATTCACCACAAAAGAGGAGAAAAATATTTCATTATTTGAAACAGTTTAAAAATGATGTAATTTGTTTACAAGAGACTCATATTAGAAGTAAAGATCAAAAATACTTAATAAATGCAAGGTTAGGTATACATTTTGTTGCATCTGCTCCCGAGAAGAATAATGGTATAGTTATATACCTAAAAAAAGACCTAACTGCCAAATTAATTGAAGCAGATGATCAAGGAAGATTTATAGCAATTGAACTTAGAGAAAAAATACTTTTAATTGGCATCTACGCACCGAACCAACAACAGGAAAAATTTTATAAGCTTTTACATTCCAAGTTACTACAATGGGACTATAAATCATGTATTTTATTGGGTGATTGGAATGGAGTTTTGGACACTAAAAAAGATAAGAAGGGGCTCTTGCAGAACATTTCAACGCGTGCCAGATTGCCAAAATCGTTTTTTGAAATGATGGAGGATATGGAACTGAGAGATATCTGGCGAGAGAGAAACCCCAAAGAAATATTTTTCAGAATATTTTTTCTGATAGACATCAATCTTTCTCCAGGATTGATTTTATATTAATTACAAATGATTTCTTTTCCAGGGTGAAGAAGACGAAGATTTGTCTAAGAGTTTTAACGGATCATAGTTCAGTTTGAATGGAATTAGAGTATGGAAGGAGATCTAAGAGGTCTTGGAGGTTAAATGAAAATCTGTTTAGATATGAGGAAAATGTAAAAGAATGTAAAAAATTTATGAAAGAATTTTTTATTATAAATATGCATAAGGGTACATCTATGGAAATGGTTTGGGATGCAAGTAAAGCATATATGAGAGGCATTTTGATATATTTGAATAATAAATATAGACACAAACAGGAAAAAAAAGGAAGGATTTAGAAGAAGAAATAATCAGAAAAAAAGAACAAGCTTTGATATTGAACCCGGCAGATAAGAAAATAAAAGAGGCAATCAATTTATTGCGAGGGCAATTTAATATGTTAATGGCTGATCAGGTCGCAACTAATTTGCAATATGCTAAACATAATATTTTTTGTAATGCTAATAAACCAGGGAGGTGGTTAGCATATTTGTTAAGGAAAAAACAAAAGTCACGGACTATAGAGAAAATAGAATACAAAGGTAAAGAGGTTTATCAGCAAAATATGATTAAAAAAGCATTTTTAGAATTTTATACAAGGTTGTATGCTAGTGATAAAATTCAACGTACAGATATAGATACATATTCACAGAAAGAGAATATTCCTACAATTACAAAAGAGCAAAGGGAGGGTTTAAATCAATCGATAACCACTGAGGAGATTATGTTTGCAATTAAGCAGTTGAAAGTGGGTAAAGCTCCTGGGACGGATGGCTTGACAGCTGCTTATTATAAACATTTGCAGTTAGAAATGGTGGGACCACTTAAAGAATTATTTACTAATATACAATCTGGAGGAGATGTACCCCCATCTTAGAGGACAGTTTATATTTCTTTGATTCCAAAGAAGGAGCAAGACCACACCTAGCCAAAAAATTATAGGCCCATATTACTCTTAAATACAGATTACAAGATTTTTGCTAAAATATTAGCAAATAGGTTAATGACAGTCATGCAACAAAT